TGCCAGAGATAGTGAGACACAAACTTAGTTGAGCAATCCAAACCTTAAATATTTCCACCTGGAGGTTAATGTCCCACTGAAATAATGACTGAGATTTTAAGACTCAGGGTGAGCTTGTACTGATCAGCTTCTTTGACTAGCAATAGCTAATGAATTATCAATCACAGACTCTTTGATCAAATCCCTTCTTCCTGTCTTCCTGTTGAATCAAAACATTCATAGGTGGTACCTTCAACCCAGTACTTCAGAAAGGCAATTAGGCCTATAAATCATCTCACCGAGTCAGCCAAGCCATTTGAGAATGAAATATAACCGTATTCTCAGGTTTAATTGAATCAGAATTATGCAGAACGGCTAAGGACAAGGAATAAGCAGGTTTAGGTTAGTTAATGCTTGGACAAGCAACCTACCAGGGCTCCTATGCAAACTCCTAAGTTTTATGATGCAAGATAGGTGGAATATAAATGAAACAGAACATTCGGCTGAACTTATTAAGGTTAGAAATCTGTCCTTGCTGCTGCAGTAAGGATTGGCAATATAAAGCCTTGTTAAGAAGGGCGTACGTTTAAGTGATTCGATGCTATATGCAATGATTCTCTTTTTATGTTGGCATTTCAGACAGCAGCAAGTGCATGCATGAGAGTCAATCTGCATCTGCAAAAGGAGAATATTTCATTTCTATCCTGTCCTTCTTCCAAATGACTCATGGCAGCATGCACAGGCCTACTCTACTTTGTCCTTGAACAACCAACCTTGTAATGTTGTTCTGACATGCTCTACAAAAATAGATTTACAACAAACCCTTTGAGGGAGGCTAGGCAGGAAATAAAGCTATTTGCTGGTGCAGGGCTTAGTGGGAAGAGGTCCTGCGGAGGTCCACAACAAACACACCACACAACAATTTTGGAATAAAAAACAGCCCACAGCTTTTATTGATTACAGACCAAGGAGCACTGGCGAAGCATGGGGGTGGATCCTGGAAAATTGAGCGACCTGCCTGCTGCCCGATAACCACGTCCCTCAGCCTGCCTGCTGAGGGAAAAAACTGGGAGTGACAAATACTACTGGTATCACAAGGGCGGCTGCCTCTGCATGGTACCAATTTGACACCTGGGGTGAGCCTGGGCACAGCCCCCGAGATGGACCTACTGCATGTTGGCTCAAACCCCCAGACCCCTTAAGGGGGTCCCCAAAAAGGGGGGGGGGGGACAAGCAGGCCCATCTCCCCGAAAAGGATCCACGCCAGATGCGTAAAACCGCCAGCTGTGACAGCAAAGAACTTAGAAAACCTTTTAAAGCCAGGGAGGGTGGGTGGTGATCTGACGAAAATCGCACTGCCGTGCTTCACTGACAGTGCTGCTTAAATTTTCCCAGGCAGGCTCTATGTCATCACTTCGTAGAGCCTGCCAAATTCAATGAGACCAATCAGCTGTCCCCCCCCCCCCAGCTAGTATGAAGCCAGCCAACGTGGTCGCCCCAGTTTCCTGCCTCTGCTGGCTGTTTGCCCGATTGGGGGGGTGGAGAGAAGAAGACCTCCTCCAGCCCTCCTCCTGCCCACGCAGCAATCTGGCCTTTCAGGTTAGTCTTGGCCACGTTTGTTGAGAGTGCTCCATGACCTGTATGGCTACATTGTCCACTGGGTCCTCTGTACAACAGCTGCTTGCTGCAGAGAGGGCTGTGACAAGATGTACGACCTGCCAGTAGCCAGCTATACTTCACGAAAGTATGGGAGTTAGCTTTCCATGTGCATATCTGCATTATTTGATTTGTACATTTAAGGTCACTGCTACAGTCTAAATAGAACCAGGCAAATGGGAAAGAACAGGGCATTGTGGTTAATCAGTAACAATCTGTGAAGCATTTCTGATAATCTTCAAAGAGCTCTGAGAAATGCCTTCCTTTCTTCCAATTATTTTCAGTTCACTCATTTTTTTGCTATTAGGAACAATAAATAAATTACATAATCACACTTTTATTTAATAGACAAAAGCCTAATGGCTTCTTATTCTACTTTACAGGGTGGGTATCCACCATAATGTTATGCCAATGTTCTATGTAACTCAGTTTGGGCCCTACAGTCTATTAACCTTTACCTGTGTATTTTGCATTGTACTTCTCTTCTGCAATTTTTTTTTTTTTACAGTAAGAGCAGCTCTGAAGTGGAATTGGCTGCTTAGGGAGGTGGGTGAGCTCCCCTTCACTGGCAGCCTTCAAGCAGCAGCTGTATGAACACTTGTCGGGGATGCTTTAGGTTGATCCTGCACTGAGCAGGGTTGGACTAGGTGGCCTGTATGGTCCCTTCCAACTCTATGATTCTATATCACATGAAACAGCACTCTTTATTGTCAGATACTCTTCCAAAGCCAAAATAGCCATAGTGTATAATTTAAAAACTGCTGACCTATCAACCAGTCATGAAATCTCACATGCCCATGAGTTGTTTCACTTGGCCAAGTAGTCATTTGTGGCTACAATTTATACTACTCCCAGTGTAAATTTCCTCTTTGCAGTAATTAAGTACAAAGGTGAACAATGCAACCCATCTTTTTTTTTTCATTCTGCCAGCATTTTATTTAGTTCTCTTCAGCAGACCTCTTAGCATTGGAAATTTTCTCTTTAAGATTAAATCGTTGTTCCGGGGGCTAACTATGTGTAATACATGTACAGTTGTTGGCTTTTAATTGAAAGACACAACTTCAGATTATTTGAGGAGACAGGCTATTAAGATGGGCAAACAAAATTAAGGATAAAAAACAATTTGCATAAAAATATAATAATACCTTTTTAGCTAGTAATGACAGATGCAGTCATTTGTCATTTTTAAGATGGATATTCCCTTCTGTGGGAGCTTACTAGATAATGGTTAGCACTAAGAGGACACAGAAGAGAAAAAACTGACTTGACAGCCCTATTTCTCAAACCCCTGCTGTAATGAAGCTTACTGTGTGAATCCTCTGGATTGAGTGCTGAGTTTCTACTCTACAGCCAGATACTCCTAGAGGCATCTATCACAAAGTAAGGAAACTCTCCCTGCCAATCACAAGGATTCATGTAGCAAGCTCTGCTAGACCTCAAGAGCCCGAACATACAGAATAAAGCAGAACAGTAGCACGCACCTTAAGACTAAAAGCAATTATTCAGCATCTGCTTTTGTGAGTCAATGCTTGCTTCATCAGATGTACTGCAGTAAGTCTGTCAGAATGTTCAGTATGCACAACACAAGGGTGGTGGGGAATATTACAAAGACAAGCCTACTGAAAAAGAAACAAGATCCAACCAAAAGAGTAGTCAGTCAAGTAAAAACGGGTGTGAGACCCTCCCAACAGTATTAGATAAGCAAAATGTAAAAACTAATGAAGTATGAAGTTTGAGTCCAGTGGCACCTTTAAGACCAACAAAGTTTAATTCTGGGCATAAGCTGTCATGCACATGAAAGGTTATACCTAGAATTAAACTTAGTTGGTCTTAAAGGTGCCACTGGACTCAAACTTTGTTCTGTTGCTTCAGATCAACAAGGCTACCCATTTGAATCTAATGCAGAACAAAATGAGATTAGTAGATACAATAGGAAGTTATATATAACTGAAGTAATTAACATTTCTGTAAGGTGTGGGATAAGCTTCAGCATGGCACATTACTGCTCAGGAGCAGATGACCAATCCTTAGACAATACAAGGAATAGAGAAGCATTTCTCCTCCCAATTTACTGTTGTTCCTGCACTCATATAGTCTCCAAGCTAATCACTAACAAGCATCTCTCCAGTGCTCTCTATTGGCCTTCAGCATTGAAGAACCGAACCGTAGTTTACCAGACATATTATTCCAACTGCCACAGGTGTACTGCAAAGAGTTATTGCGGAGGAGTAATATGCAAATGATAAGTGGCTGCAGAAGGGACAGCTTCATTTTTCAACCCCCTTCTCCCCCTGAACCTCCTCCCTTCAACTGTTTTTTCCTAAAATGCATCCTTGTTAAGGGTGCCTGTGCCACAGAGAGGGAGCGAGGGAGCGAGGGTGGGGCGGCTGGTGAAGCAGAAGTATTAGATGGAAAACGGCACCTATAGGAAGAGTCCAGCACTACCCCCTTCCACTTCTTCTCTATAAACTGCTTCCACCCAAGGCTCAGACTTTGCAGCAGAGAAGCAGCTGTCAGGCTGAAGTTACACACATTTGGCCTCAGTTCGCTTGCACCTAGCAGTTTTACCTGGGTATACTTTCCTTCAGGGAGGATAGTATGGCTGTCAATTGTGTATATGGCCTGATAAAGCTCCTGGCTACTAACCTTCTCCAATATCAACCAATGTGAACGTCACTCTCCATTTCGCAGTGGAGCAGAACAGCATTCTTAGTAAGCTGCAAGGATGCCTCTGAAGATTTTCAAGGACACCCTTGAGAAGGAAACGACTGCAGAGAGTACCGGTTGCATCTCGTTTGCAACGCCATGCGCTCTCAAGTGCATCTTGATGCACCTGAAACAAGTCACCTGTGAGCTTCTGCAGTATTTCTGTGAATGTCCTTAAAACAAAACAGAAAGAACACGAGACCCAGGTAACCCCTGCGGGTGGTACAGTGACGCGGAGACTCGCAGAGATACAAGCCAGGGATGCAAAAACACTCGTGGCCGCAAAGGAAACCCTCCCCCATCTCCCGCCACTATTCTGTCCGGGGAGTCCTCGAGGCCCTCCGTTGTGAAGCCTCCCAGGGTCACATGCAAACAAGGCTGGAAAGCAGGGGGGCCGGGGGGGGGGGAGGGCAACCACCGCGCCCTGACGGCGAGCGGACGAGGGCTGCTGCGAGCACAACTCACCGGGGCTTCTCTTGTGACGGAGACGGAGCCCCGGCGACGAGAGCGGCGGCGGCGGCGGCGGCGGCTCCCAAGAGCACACCGAGGAGCCCGCGCGCCGCTGCCTCCCCTCTCGCCTCTCCCCGCCCCCCGGCCGGCTCGGAGCGCGGCGCTCAGCTGGGAGCCTCCTCCTCCTCTCCCCCTCCTCCCCGCTGCCCCTCCCGTCGGCGATGTCCGCGAGGGGCATGGAGTTGGCCGGAACCTATAAAAGCCCCTGACGAGAACCGGAGCGCTGCCACCACCACCACCGGGCAAGCCGAGCGAGAGCGCGCAGCACCACCGCCAACCCCAGCGCCGCGGAGCCATCACCATGTCCCGTCACTGGGGCTACGGCAAGGACAACGGTGAGTGCCTCCCCGGCGCCCAGCCTGACCCACACGAGTGAGTCGGTCCGCCCTGACAGGAGCCCGCGCCGCCGCGCCTCACGCTGCCCAGCCCGCCTTCCTGCCCCGACGTGGTACCTGCGGCTGGCTGTGCTCCCGAAGGGGCGCCCGCACTTCGCCGCCGGCACTACTCTCGGCGTGGCGCTCGTGGCGGCGGCTGCTGCTGCTGCGGGCGCTGTGCACGGCTGCGCTGCGCTCCCCAGACCCGAACTGGGGTGAGTGCCCCGCATCCAGCTGGCAGCTCTTCCCCATTAGTTAATGCGGAGTAGAGACGCGAGCTTGGATGCGCGGCGCAGGAATGGGACCTCGGTGTACGCAGCGACGGAAGGTTTCTTGGCCGGTGGCAGAGATGGGCGACTGGCCCTTTCAATTCATAAGGAAACTTCACGGGGGACCGAGACCGAGCTGGACCTGTGGTGCTGGTGGAGCTGTAGGGGGCCCTTGGTCTTGGAACCCTGCGCTGTGGCAGTGATGGCCAATGGATGTAGGTTGGGTGACCCCCATTGCCAACACTGCTGCCCAGGTGTGACCCCTTGGCCCCAATGGCTCTGCCAGCACCGGAGGAACCGTTTGGTTCAACTTGCTCCAGGACTGTTTTAACATTCCAGACCACTGCTTATAAGGCGAACTCTGGTGTGCCAGAAAAGGGGACCTGTCTCCATATCCCTGCCCATAGACTCTCCAGACTTGCACTGTCACCTATGCTGTATGTTTCAAAACTAGACTTGAGTCTGACTTTATATTCACCTTTCCATTGAGATGCCTGGGAACAATCCCTCCATATCCTCTTACTGGAGTGCCTCAAACCAGACAATTCAATGGTTCCTTTTGTGACTTTTCTGGTCACTCCTAGGAGTATCCTAGGGTCAAGGTTCCTGTCACCCAGTTCTGAAACCACCTGCAGTATTCCTTTCCCAGCTCCACACCATAGTGGATTAGATGGGGTCCCCTTGAATTAGAAGAGGAAAGTTGTCTGTTGAGTATGAGAAGGTGATTGGTAAAGGCTCCTGCCTTCCCATTTCCCCCATCTTTGAGAAATGGGAGATGGGTAACTTGTTCCCATGCAGGGTCCTCTCTCTGCCACGAGAACATTTGTGGAAAGCAGGTGAGAATCTACTGTCCTTTGGTCTAGATCTGTGCTTGGCAAGGCAATGGAGGTGTTCTTCGGAGTTCAGTAAACCCTTCCTTACCCTCACTGTAGGGAAGAGGATAATCTGTTCTTCTGGGATACTTCTCAATGCCCCTCCTCGACCTAAAATCCATCAAAACAGTGCTCTGCTTAGAGGTTCTCATTTCCCTGTACCACGCCACCAACAATACTTCTCTCTGCCTGGCAGTTAGAGAGTCTAATTCCAGCTGGCCAAGATTGCTTCATCCTCATATTCAATATTGATGAGATGAATGTTAAAGCCTCCCAGCTGCACTTACAGCATTAAAGGCCTCCTTTGAGTTTGTTATCAATTGCCGTCTTTCTCCAGTCTGTGCTGGGGCTTCAATTGTGGTTTCTTTTCTCCTCCCCCCCCCTTCTCTAGGACCTTCTACCTGGCATGAGGTATTCCCTATTGCCAATGGAGATCGCCAGTCACCGATTGACATTCAGACCAAGTCTGCTAAGTACGATTCCTCACTGAAGCCACTGAGCATCACTTATGACCCATCTACAGCCAAAAACATAGTCAACAATGGCCACTCTTTCAATGTGGAGTTTGAAGACTTGGCTGATAAATGTGGTAAGTCTTTGGGTGCTTGTGCCTCTTTTAAACTTGAGAGTCTAATGCTTTGTGGGGAGAGATGGGAAGCAAAAGTAATGGGAAAGAAACTTTACTGGAGGTTAACTAAGTATTGCAAACAGATATGTTGCTCTCTTGTATTGCCTTGTTTTAGCCAGAAATTAGTGTAATCTGAAAACAACACAAAGAAGCGGGGAACCCCAGTTTTATTGATTTGAAAGTTTCCCCTTACTGGAAGGCTCTGGATAGGCTTCACCGTATGTTAAATGAATTAGTTTTTGCAATGCCAGTCTAAATATATCAGATGCAACCTCCCCCTGTCCCTTTCAATAGTGTGCAGAGATCCAACACCACTTTTTCTTTTTGATCTTTCCTCTTTT